TCAGGACCACCAGAAGTCTGTGCATGTGTCCTTGGGATGCCCTAGAAGGGCAGGCTGTCCTGGGCCAATTCCTCACACAGGTATCTCTGCACTCAGAAGAAAAGGGGAAGATGTTGGCAGTTGGTACCCCACTGACCATGGAGGCAAGGTACAGGTAGACTCCTAGGCTAGCGAACCCATCATGCAGGGTGCCAAAGCCGGGGGTGGGGGGTGTGCAGTGTGTGGGGTGCTATGCATGGCGAGCACAGCTGAGCCCACCATGGGGAAACCGACAAAAGAATCCTGGGGCACTATGACACTGGCCTTGCATCTGAATCCCCCAATTTGGCTTCCTCACTCGCAGATCCAGCAAATACACGAAGGGAACTCCCTACATCAGCGCCATCTTCCTAGAAGTTTCTGCAAACAACTATTTTCAACAACTATACATATGGGCATCCCCAGATGGGGATGCTCCATCTAGCTCTAGTATGTTTCTCTTCATCATATTTGAATTTTGTTATTGTCATCATTGGCTCACACAAGCTGGTGTGCTTCTTCCATGTGGACTTGGTTGACTCCTTGCTTAAAAGGCTGCTAGTCTGAACACAAGCCTTTAAGACCTCAGACACTATTCTGATTGATAGCCAGGCACTATCTTCTTTCTTGAACACTTTGCTGTAGCACTCTTATCTTCAGTGATTTCATAAAAGCCAGTACTGTGCAGGGCCATGTTATCAGAACTAAATGTTCTTGGATTAGGGCTAGAGTTAAGTAGGAGCCCAGAATCCATCTGCATGTCCATAGTATGTAGATGTGTTACTCAGGCTTACTTCAGTGGTCATAATATGACAAAACCAAAACCACATAAGATCAAGTCCACCAATAACAGCAACAAACCAACCAGCAAACAAACAGAAAAACAATGCAAAACAAAAATAAACTAGGCAGGAAAACAAAAACCCATGGAAACAAAGAACGTATAACATTGTCAATCATCCCTGAGGTATAATGCAATTGCACTGACATCAATTTTCCCAAGGACAGCCCTCTGGACATTGTCAGTGGGAGTCGCCTTTGGGAGTGCATTTCCACTTTGAGCTGCAACCCATGGGTTGTTGCCCTACAGTTTGATCGCCCATTTGACTGTGCTCTCTTCACTCTATGTAAGGTGATTGTTGCGGGGGGGGGGGGGGGGGGGGGGGGGGAGGCTGCTTTTAATAATTCTGCCAAGTGCATATCCCTGTCTAGCCACTTGAAACATTTGAAACATGTCATGTCACTGTGAGGTGGGCATCAAGGTAACGAAATATACGATTCTGGGTCCCTTTCCATTGGACACCCGCCAAACCAGGGGTTCCTCCCAAGGTCTAATGACTGCCACTTCCATAGTCCCAGGTGGGCCACTCTCTCCTTCCTCCCCCATCCAAGTACCCTAGCAAGGCTTCTTTAGAGTAATGAAAAGCAAGGCTGTTACCCTGGGGACTAAGGCACGTGTGACCCGTGCCATGGTATTTCCCATTGCCTTATTGCATGTGAAAGTTAGAAATTGAATAAGGAAGATGAAATAAGAATCACTGCATTTGAATTGCTGTGCTGGAGAATACTGAAAGTTACCATCGGCTGCTAAATGGACAAACAAGTCAGTCTTGGGAGAACTCTGGTGACTGTGTTCCTCAGTGGCAAGGATGGCGAGACTTCGTCTTACATACTTTGACATATTGTCAGGACAAGAGACAAGTCCCCGGAGAAGCATATCCTGCTTGGTAAAGTGGAGGGGCAGCAGAAAAGAGAAAGGCCCTCAACAAGACGGGTTGACATCAGAGCTGCAACAGTAGGTGCAGGCACAGGAACAACTGTAAGGATGGCGCAGGACTGTGTTGGGTTTCGTTCAGGTATGCATGGGGTAGCTATGGGTCAGAACTGACTGGATGGCACCTAACACCAACATGGCCTACTCCCTCTATCAACAGAGGCTGTAGAAGTAGTGTTTGCTTCTTGCTGGGTCAGGGTCCCGCCAAGGGCTCACTCACCTCTGGTTCTTTGGGTTTGACCAATGACTTGCCATACTGCCTGCCTTTCTTTGGTCTTCAGTGGTCTGTCACTTGGTTTGCCAACCTTGGATTCACATTCCCGGCAGTCAGCACACTGTCCTCCTTCTGTTGATCTTGAGCTCATCAGCCCCCACAGCTACATGCATGAGGAGGGCTCCTTACTCATGACCTGACCTATACATGACCCACAGACTGGGTAACTGCCCGGCGTGGACTCAATTGATTCCACAAGTGCGCAAGCCATTTTCTTGATATAAAGTTATTTCTATATATACGTACGTGAGCATCACTGGTTCTGCTTAGAAAACCTATCCTTACATAGTTATACATCATGTTGCTAGCGGTCACCAGGTACTTCCACATGCACATATAAGGGGTTACCAAAAAAAAAACCATGGAATTTTTTTCAAAGCTACGTATTTAAATTTTTTTTTACAAAACAACCTTATCACCTTCAATGTACTGTTCATTACCTTTAACACATTTGTCAAATCTGCAATTCCATTCTTGGAAACAGTTTTGAAACTCATGTTTGGATGGCTGACAGAACCTCCCTCATTTTTTTCTTCACCTCTTCTACATTGTCAAATCGCTGTCTTTCCATGCCCCACTTCATTTGTGGAAACAAAAAGTTTTCACCGAAGTTTAACTGAGCAAGGTCAGGTGAGTAAGGTGCATGGGGCAAGAGAAGCATGCTGTTTTTGCTTAAAACTGGCACACTGAGATGGCTGCTTGAACCACTGTGGTGGCAAAACCAGCGCCTTATCTGCCACAAATCGGGCATTCTCTGTTGCACACTGTTTTGCTATCTTTTCAGAACCTCTAACTGGAAAGTTTGATTCACAGTCTGTCCTGGTGAAACAAGCTCCAAATGCACTCGTCAACATTGATGTCTATTCGGCAAGTTAACAGACATCAGAACAAGGCGTGTCATCCACCAACATTTCACCTTTTTTGAAATCAGAAAACTACCCATACACTTGAATTTTTCCCATAGCACTATCCTTGTAAGCTGTGTTCAACATCACAGCAGTTTCTTCCTTTTTTTTTTTTTTTTTTAAACATCACAACAGTTTCTGTGGTGTTTTTCCTGAGCAGGAAACAAAATTTCAGACACATGCTGTTCTCTTAAATTGGCCATCACAAAAAACGAGGTTTGAGTGAAACCGCTTTATGAAAACATTCACTGTGACCAGAGAGCCTTCCCAGGCAATGCAACTGGGTGCACTAAATGAGTGAGTTGCTTCACTTGCCTAGCAGGAAAAATGTGTACTACTAAAGTTCGGCCCCGCCCAGCTTTCTTCCATTTTTTGGTAGGACGGGGCGGGGTGGGGTACTCCCTCGTATGTTCTAACTTGCTACTTAGGATCTGTAAAACACATGAAACATCATTAGCCATCTTTCCTAAGCTTTAAAATAGAGTCTGCATTTGGAGGTTTAGGATCATGGTTTCTTGGAACATACCCATCAATCGGCCTACTAACCTGTTCAGTGTTTCTGTTCTACCTCGTAGTCCATTATATAGCACCTGGGGTCTTAAAAGCTTGCAAACAATCATCCACGGGGCAGGAATTGAGCTCTATTCATCTGGAACAAGAGATAAAAGAGGAGAACTGATGGGACTGTACCTATCATGACTTAACATCTGGATTAAAGATTCCACAGAAGAATCCTGATCCATGGGGGAAATGCAGAGCTGAATGTAAAGTCTCATGACCTCGGGTTCTGGTGGCACAGTGGTTCTGTGTTCGGCTGCAAGGTCAGCAGCTGAAACCAGCAGCAGTGTAGTGGGCGAGACAGGGCTTTCTACTCCGGTAGTGACAGTCTCAGTAACTCAAAGGGGCAATGTTCCAGGGTCACTGTGAGTCATCAGAATGGGTCTGATGACAGTGAGTCTGGGTACGAACTATGGATGAACCCCGGAAATCACTGCCCTTAGAAAAGCCTTAAAAAGAATGATTATTTTACTTATGTATAATCATTTTATTTGGGGCTCATACAGCTCTTATCACAATCCATACATACATCCATTGTATCAAGCACATTTGTACAATTGTTGCCATCATCTTCAAAACATTTTCCTTCTACTTGAGCCTTGGTATCAGCTCATTTTTTCCCTATCCCTCTGGATAATTTATAACTTATTTTTTCATATCTTACACTGACCGATGTCTCCCCCTTCACCCGCTTTTATTGGTCCTGAGGGGTTTATCCGTTCTGGATTTCCTGTTTCCAGCTCTCATCTGTACTAGTGTACATGCTCTGGTCCAGCCGGATTTGTAAGGTAAAATTGGGGTCATGATAGTGGTGGATGGGGAAGCATTAAGAAACTAGAGGAAAGTTGTATGTTTCATCAGTGCTATACTGCACCCTGGCTGGCTCGTCTCTTCCTTGTGACCCTTCCGTAAGGGGATGTCCAGTTGTCTACAGATGGGTTTTGGGTCTCCACTTTGCACTCCCCTCATTAGCCCTTAGAACATCTTTAAACCAAATCACCCTTGCAATCTTCTCTTAAGCCAACAGTAGTTTTAACCATTGGGTATAATGCTCTTTGAAGAATCGTTTAGAGAGGGTCAAACTGACACCACACTGTCCATTAGAACAGAACCACAGGGGCCAGGGTCTGTGGTAACGAGCAGGATCAGGGGAGCGTGGCTGTGCACCACGAAGATTAGTCAACATCACTAACCTGCGTGTGTGGGTACAGCTGACTTGGCTTACGTTCTGCTGTGTATTTCTCAACAACCAAATACATGTGATTTAGGAGGGAAAAAAGACTACAAGTTCGGGGCTCCCTGGTTACAAGCTGGGCTGCTGACCACAACGTCAGCTGCTTCACAGGTCGAACACAAGGCTTTCTACTCCCACAAAAAGTTAGTCTCCAGCCATGGGGTCACTGTGAGTCGGAAACGACTTGATGGCCGTGAGCTATACAGTCAACGATTCAAGATGACACGGGGAAAGAAAAAACATCAATGGTCAACATTTATTTCAATGTTTGAAATGATTCAGACTAATCAAGACGGTAATTTCTTAATAATATTAATATAAAACTTTTGAAAAAGTAAATGCGATATTATTGCCTAACCTTTTATCAGTACACTAGGATTTTCAAAAGCAGTAACTCATAAAATGCAAGGTGACAATAATATAGCAAAGATCTTTCACACTTGAGGACATAATTAGCAGCAAGCTATTAAATTAAAACACGCATCTGATTTTACATTTTCCATGTGTTTTTAAACGTTGCTACAAAAACCAACTGGTAGTTGGAGCATGTTTCTTTCAAGTACTGGATTTTTAACATTAAATATATCTTCTAAAGATTTTCATGAAAAAGTGAGAAAATCATAAACTGCTTTACCAGAGACCATACACCATAAAGCACAAGCTGAATCTATCCATGCTCTTATGCTAACATCACTGGTAAACATTTTTTATATGTAACTTTAAAAAAAACATATATAACTATTTTTTATTAAAGCCAATTCTACCTCTTTAATGCTGGATCTGAGGAAAACTGATTTACGAGTTTATCCGGTTTTAAAAGTACCTTTCTATTCTGTCTGCTGACTCCAAATGTGGGGCCGGTGAACGATGGTACCACATCCTGCTGCAGGCGCCCCGCTCCAAACAGCACAGACTGTGAAGTCCCTGCCAATAACAAGGCTCCCGTGGCCAAACAACCAATTAGGAAGAAAAATGTATAGGTGATTATTTAACTGAAAGTTTATTACTTTTGCCTTTTCCCCAAGGTGCATTGTTAGCTGCTGTAGATGCAGAGACCAGATAGAAAATAAGTTACATAACTTATTTTTCATAGTTCGATTGGCTTTAAAAATCATTTCCCGAGGAAAGTAGAGGGTTGGGAAAGAACCACCATTTCTGCATTAAGAAACAGGTGTATCTATAAACGAACAGCTTTAATTTAAATCTTGAGGAAATTTAAAGACAAAATCTCCCCTTCCCCAAAAGGCAGGCCGACATGGTTACAGATACATTCATGCTCTTGTACAGCTGTATGATATTCTACACCAACAAAAACTGATCCTGTCCATTATCTAAGGGGGAAAAATAACTGAAATCAAGAAAAAGGTTGAACATCAACTCTTAAAAAGGAGAGAAGTATTATCCAACACCAAATGATAACTGTCAATTGGAAAGCATTCATTTTGACTAAAAAATAAAACTGTTGGAGAAGGGTGGTCAAGACCCCCCAGAATTGAGGCAGGTTTGTAAGCAGAAGAGTACAATGATTTGAATTCACAAAGGAAAGGACTAATCACAGTCAAATGTCACAAGCTGTCATGTCTATAATTAAATATGTAAATGCATAATATATCAAAAATACAAAGCCTCTTTCTAGGGGAAATACCAGACCTATTTTAATGCATGCACTCCATAAGCCTTCTCTTTTCAGCAGCATGAGCTAAACCACACAGAAGTACACATATGCTGGCATTCTGTCACAAGAATGACCCTTCTTACCACAAACTTGTGACTTGCCTTTGCACCCATATTTATATGCACTTTATTTCCATCATGAGAACATAAGGCAGATCTTCCTAGGGATACATTTAACATCATACATTAAAAAAACATTTTTTGATTTAAAAAAATAAATCTTTTTAGGATGGTGGCATGATGAGTCTAACAGTTGGAGCATAATACAGTAACTACAGTGAACTATTTGAAGTCATTCACAGCTGTGGGGAAATGTCTGTTGTTAAATATAACTGAGGTGTGGCGGCGTAGTTTGGAGAAGTGAAACACTAGGAGACAGCAGACGAACGCATATGATGGTTTTCTCAGCTGTGGCCATTTAGTAGTTTGCTTTCAGGAACCTGGAAGAAATTGTCTTCTTTGAGTTTCAAGTGTTCTGGCAAATCTAGCAGTTTCTTAGCTTCCTCGATATCACCATGAATTGCTGAAATCAGTGATTCTGTAGACAGAATATCCCAGATAAAGATAATTCGGTCATTACCTTAAAGGAAAATCTCTAATGTTCAAAATGAAAATCTTAAGAGGTAAATAAACTGAAACATATATAGTGAGTATAATTAAGTTCAACTTGCTATTATGAATCCCTTTGCGGGGGTGGGGGGGGGGTGGCCCGCAGCGCGGGGGGAGAGCTATAAAAGGAGAACACATGGTCAGTAGCCTAATCCCACCAACTGGAAGGAGGAAAGCCCCTGGCCACCTGCCCTCATCCAGACTACAGATGGAAAACCCTGAGGCTGCTGCACACAACACACATACATATTACACACACACACACATATAAAATCACTTTGGTTTTGATCATGACAAATCGCTAACATACATTTAATCTTCTTTTGTCCAGTCATGTTCCCAAACTCAAGTTTGGTAGTCTTTCTGGCGAAAGGTATCCCAGGAAATGGGCATTCGAGCTTAAACCAATACACGTCAGTGGGACAGAAAGTGAGCTTCATGCCCTCCTACTGCTCAGTACACATCACAGAGGGAAGTCAGGGGTTAATACTGAGGAGCTGCCCTCTCTGTCTACACGTGGGCCAGCGACTCAACTTCTCTGTGCCAGTCCTTTCTCATCAGGTGCAAACTGGGCAAAATACCCACTACCCCATAGGGTTGTTGAAGGATGAACTTAGTACTAAAGCTGTAATCCATGGACAGCACTTGAAACAGTGCCTGGCACACATTCAATGCTGAAACACTGCCTGCTCTGTCAGTGTCAGGGGTAACAGATGCAGCTGCAGCGGCAGCGGACTCACCTAAAGAATCAAAGTTCTTCTCCGGTCTCAGGTAGCCAATGATGGCCACACTGAGGGTTTCCCCATAGAAGTCCTCTTTGAAGGTATGTATGATGTGAGTTTCCTGCAGGCGAGAAATGTAAGAAGAAAATGCTAAAATGTTAGAACTTTAAATCGTTTGTGCTTTTGGAGAGTGGATTTAAACACGCCAGTCAACTCTCCTGAAATTTTAAAGACTCCATTTTTACATGCAGTTTATCTTGAATTCTACTACTCCTGTGTCTGCCCCTACCCTTACATTTTAAACATTATAACCAAGAGAAAGCCCATTGTCATCGAGTCAATTCCGACTCATGGCAACCTGGAGCGGTGTACATCACAGCACTGTTTACACGGCCATACAAAAGGAACCGCTGAGCAGACATCAAAGCGAGCATGAATAAAGACTGAACTATGCTAAGGGGGATGGGGGGGGGCAGGGTTTAGGGCCAATCAGGACCCAAGTGTCTCTGATAAATGTCAAGCTGTGGATATCGGAGCATTAGCGCTGAAATCGATGTAGGGAGAAGACATCAAGTGCTGCTTCCTGACCAGGGGCGACCTGACAGACAGGCACAGGGTTGTGTGGATCTAAAATGGTGCTGGAGGGAGATGACATCCTGGCACCTCTCTAGTTCAGATACAGCACCTGAACTTTAGTAACATCCCCAAAAGAACAAATCTAGGTCAAAGGAAGACCAGGCAGGAGGCCCAATGAGGAGAGAAGCAAGGCAGCAGAGGTGGACTGGGCTGGTGGCACTGGACGTGGTGGTGTTTAAGTGCAAGCACTTTGGGGACAGGTAACTTGATACTAGAGGTATATTTTGAAGTGCATTACTACAGAATAATCTAATATATAAAGTAATCTTAAACCTGAAATATCGATCTCCAATCGGTTAAGACGTGCCAAATCACCTGGGTAATAGAAATAAGATGGTACTTAAATATAATGTCCTATCTAAAAGAAACCAAGTATCTGAAGTAAATAAATATAGCAGCAGAATCCTAATATTGGAGTTTACTTTCTTAACTAATGGAAAGTTCACCTTATCCATTTAAATTGTGGTTCCAACCCAAAAAGAAGCAAATTTCAAACAGATCTTTTAGATGAAGGTGGGTTTTAGTTTCTTTATTAGAAGGATAAAATATGCTAGTTTCTGAACTTTTCCTTTGGAGCCATGAATCCCTGAGGTAGTAAAAAGTGTGCTCTTTCTGCAAGTATCCTAATGTTATAATATGAAGAGATTTGGGATTTCCAGGAGTATAACAGGGTTTTTCTTGATAACATTTTGCTAACTAGTGACCTAGAGCTCGGTTGTTTCACGTGACATTGAGGGGCTGAGTTGGAGGATATGAGGTACCACACGGCTTTGTGACTAGGAACTCATACATCTTAGTTGCATTCTTTTTTAACAAACATCAACATGGAAACTAGGATATACAAGAGCCCTGCTGGTGGAGTAGGGTACAAGTAGGGTGCAAGATGGTGTTAATTCAAAGCCACCAGCAGCTCTGAGGACAAAGATGAGGCTTTCAACGGTTAGAAAGGTTTAGTCTTGGACACGATGGATGGATGTCTAGATTGTGATAAGAGTTGTACGAGCCCCCAATAAGGGACAAAAAAAAAAAAAAAGCAAAAAGATGTAGTCTTGGAAACCCACCGGGGCAGTTCAAGTGCTTTCCCACCGTTTCTGAGAGTCAAGGCACTGAGTGTGTTTTGAGAAGATATCCTTACCACTGACAATAACACCATTTCTGAGACTGTAAAGAGGCCTCGTGTTACTGCTATTGAGTCAATTCTGAATCTGAGTAACACTGTGTGTGCAGAACAGAACTCACTCCACAGGGTTTTCAAGGAAGCAGATCACTAGGCCTGTCTTTCAAGTTGCCTCTGGGTAGGTTTGAACCACCAACCTTATAATTAGTCAAGCACTCAGCTCTTTGCATCACCCAGGAACTCCATGAATATGCCTATTCTTCCCAAATTGATCAACCGATTCATTGATACCCCAATCAAAATTCTAGCAGTTTTCTTAAATGTTGGAACTGACACGTAATGATATATACAGAATTTGGAAAACCCTGAATGCAAGGCTGGATGACTCATACCATGAGGTAGCAATACCTAATATGGAGCACTATGAATATTAGGATGGCATGGTAATGCCCAAAGACAAGATAAGCAGCCCAAATAATGCGTGGGTCTACTTCTGCATGCACATAAATAATACATATATACTCCTACTCATAAACACATATATACTACACTCACATATATAAATCAACACTGAGCTGATTCCAACTCAGCAACTCTATAGGTCAGGAGAATTGCTCCATGTGTTTCCGAGACTGTAACTGTTCGCAGGAATAAAGAGCCCAGTCTTTCTCCCTTAGTGACTGGTTCCCAACTGCTGAGCTTTTGGGTCGCAGCTCAACACCTACCCACTACACTGGCAGGCATCCTCACATATTTGATAAGGTCACTTATTTTAACCAGGGGACCTGGTGGGAGAGTGGGTTACACATTGAGCTGCTAAACACAGGTCAGCCGTTTGCAATGAGGAGCTGCTCTGAGGAAGAAAGACTTTCTACGCCCATGAAGCTACATTCTCAGAAACCCACAGGGGCAGCCCTGCCGGCCTGTAGGGGTGCGACAGACCAGAATCATCTCCAGGGCAGGATTTAGAACCCAGGTGACAGTGTTGTAAAGCAGTGTTATAACGAAAGGTGGTATTTTCAGTTAAAGGGGCTGCTTACATCAATTCAATGACCACGTGGAAAAATTAAGTTCGACCCTAAGCAGTAAGGAATTTGGGAGGGCGGGCACAAGTCACCCAAACAGGCCCCAAAGAAAAAGTTAAAGTTGGCCGTTTGAACCCACCAAGCAGTCTGTGGCCAGGCAGCCGAGAGCCCAAAGGTGATAGCTAAGAAAATCTGAGGTAACACACGCAGCTGCCACGAGTTGGAACAGAGGCCAGGGCAACACACTTTTTATTAGTTGCTGCTTTTCTAAAGGGGGGAGCTGGAGGGGTGCTAGTGGTGCAGTGGTTAAAGTACTCAGCTGCCAACCAGAAGGTGCGTGGCTCAAACCCACCGTCGCCTGGCGGGAGGGAGAAATGTAGCACTCTGCTTCCGGAAAGACTGGACTCAAAGCCACAGTGGCAGTTCTAGTCTAGCCTGAAGGTCCCTACGAGTCAGGGGAGAGCTGGCAGCATGGGGCAGAGTGGTCTGGACTTTGCCCTGTGGAGTCCTGGTGGAACAGGGGTTACCCATTGGGCTGTGATCTGCCTGGTCAGCGCTTCAAAACCACCAGCAGTTCTGTAGTAGAAAGACTGGCTTTCTACTCCCCTAAAGTGTTACCGTCTCAAACTCACGAGGGGTTGATAGGAGCCAGCACTGACTCAATGGTGACGAGTTGTTTGTTTGGTTTGGACTTTGCCCTGGCTCGGAGGAGGTAACTAACGCACACACAGAAGGTACTGGTGCTCAGGTGACTGGGGAGCCCTACTTGCGTAGTGGGACCAGAGCGCTGGGTTGCTATGCCATTGGCAAGATCAGCAGTTTGAATCCATGCTTCCGCTCCTCAGGAGAAAGATAGGGTTTCTGCTCCCCTAAGAAAGATTTATAGCCTCAGAAACCAATAGGGGCAGTACTATCCTGTCCTATAAGGCTGCTATAAGACTCAATATAATCAGAAAATAAAAATAATGAAGTGGAGTATATTAAAATTAGAACTTTGGTTCTTCAAGAGACAAAATTAAGAGAATTTACAAACCACACACAGTGTGGAAGATACTTGCAAATACATGGTTCCACCAAAGGCACAGGAAAGGGTAGATAGTAAGCACATTGTATTTGTTTGTTTTTAAAGGACATTTTAAAGGGGATTAGGCAGACAATCCCCTTTTCCAGAAGGACAGAGTTGAATAGGCAATTCGCCAATGTCTGTTATCGGGAGAGAAGAGCAAAGAAACAACCAAGCCACTCGAGAAGGCCCGAGTCTCCTGCCTGGACGCAGATGGCCCTCCTTAACTAGCTCCACAGTAACATGTCACCAGATAAGCTAATAAAACACTAGAACAATTCTTAAAGTCCCTCCGGGGATTAGCCTTTCCTCCCTCATTCTGCAAAAATGTGTTTTGTGTTCTTCTATCAGAAGAAATCTTCACATCTCAATACTCAGAAAAAGGTGAAATAGTGATAAAAGTACCAAGCAGTTCTGTGTCGCTTTAGCTCTCCCTGGTCTTTTATCAACTCTTCAAAGACAGTAAAAGTAAGATCAACATCTACATGTGGCTCTGCCCTACCCCCCATGCATGGCCCACTGCCCCCAAATTCAGCCCTATCTAGTCCCTTGGCAGTGCGAGCAATAAAGCATTGACTACGCGCTGCAAGGGTGGTGACTAGCGCTCCCACAGAGGTACCCTGGAGACAGGCCTGGGCACCTGCTGCTGAAACGCCACAGCCTCCAACACCCAATAGATTGGTTCGACTCAGCCCACTGGGGCGGCAAGGGTGGGAGCTGATTCAACACTAACTAAGGCAGCAGCGGGTGAAGCACTTACACTATGTGGGTCCTGTCAACAAAGAAAGGCAGAGCAGAGGAGCATGACCTCAAGGTGCTATTAAAAACAATATATTAAAAAAAGCAATTATATCCCAAGACACCATCCCTGTATTAAGTCGGTTTGTTTCGATGAGGTTACGAAGTAACTAAGCTGTGAATGAATTACACTCACCAGACAGCAATTTTATGAAACAAGCCTTTTTTCAGATGTTAACTACACTGTAAATACCACTGGTGGAGCCCGTGTGCACCGGACACCGGCTCTCAATCATCACCTCGTGTCCCGTTCCGGCACAAACAAAACACAATCCTTACCATGGACTTTTTGGTATTCTTGTAGTAGGGGTTCCACCCAATGCTCACCACCATCTTGTGGACAGCTCCACTCCCCACACTGGCCCAGCCATAGTAAATGCCCGTGGACACATCCGCTGGAAGACTGTCCACGACTTCTTCTGGAAAGTTAGCTAAACAACAACAAAAGATGTTTATATTAAATATTTCTAAAAACCACCGCAAAGGCTGGTCATCTAATCATCAAGTTCACCGGGGTCCTCCGACTTGGATCTCCCCTCCTCTTGACCATGCTAGGAGCCCTGGTGGTGTAGTGGTTAGCGCGGGGCTCACTACAAGGTCAGGCGTTAGAAACCACCAGCCACTCCACGGGAGGAAGATAGGCTTTTCCACCCGCTTAAGGAGTTAACACTCCGAGAAAGCCACAGGGGCAGTCCTGTCCTGTCCTATGATTCAGCATCAACTCGTGATGAGATTAGAACAAGATGCTTGGTTATACTGTTTACTAAACCTCTTCCTGGTGGCGGAGTAGGTGGTGGGCTGCTAAGCACAGGTCAGCAGTTCAAAACCAGCCTTTCCACGGGACAAAGATGAGGCTTTAAAAGAACACAGGAGCAGTTCTACTCTGCCTCACAGGGTCACGATGAGTTATAATGGACCCCACAGTGTTCAGGTCCGTTTTGCAAACTTCTTCCCCCCAGCCCCCACTTGTCAAGGTATGAAGAGAACCGGGTGCATGACCGCTGGGATCTCTGCGGGGTGCGGAGAGGTTGCGGATCACGTGCAGAGTTGACTTGAAGCATTCACACGCCTGGTCTCCAGACTGATTCCACGGCAATCTTGTTTGCTTTGCCTTTTCCCCAAGGCCTTAAGCAGCTGGCTGATAATAACGCCTGTCCAGGCTCTGAATGGGAGCGACTACGACGCTTGGGGCGAAATTCCCCACGACAAATAAGAGCCGGGGAAAACTCGCGGAAACAAAATGTGCAAAAAGGTACCCTTGTCTTATTCAACACCACCTGCGTTGTTATCCCTTGGGTTCTACATAACAAGGATCTTTCTAAAAACTTCAAAATCGGCCTGAGCATTCGAGTGCACCTTGTTTTCCAACAAGCAAAACGCACGTCATTCCCGGCAACCGCGGCCTGACCGGACCAGGAAGCCAAGTCCCAGGCCCCGCGGGCCCGGCCCGACCCAAGAAGCCGGGACGTGGTGGGAAGGCTGTCACCCCCGGGGCGGCCGATCGGGTCCCGAGGCCCCGCCGCCCGCCCGCGCCCCGGCCCCGCGCTCACCGGTGGGGATGCCCAGCTGCTTGGAGCCGCGGCCGAAGCCCCGCACCACCAGGCCGCGGCAGAAGTACGGCAAGTGCTTCATGGCGCCGCCGGCTTGGGGCGCCAGCTGCGGCCCTGGAGGCGCGTCCGGCGGAGCCGCCGTCGAGGCCGTGCCCGGAGGCCCAAGACCAGCCGTGGGGCTCGGGCCAAGCTCTGCCGGCCGGGTGCACCACGGGCCGGGCCGCGCCGCGCCGCGCCGCAGGCAGTGGACACGCTGCGCCGGTCCCGCACAGCGCCCCGCTCGCTGAGGTTGCCTGGCGACCGGAGAGTCGCTCTGCACTCGACAACCGGTGGCGACAGCGGAAGTGCGGCTGTGGGCGGGGCGAGCGGCGGGGCGGGGCGCCCGGCGCGAGCTTCCGTAGTCCCGCCTCCACGTCGGCCCCGCTAGGCCCCGCCCCGCGTCGGCCGCGACTGGGATTCGCCGCGCAACGTTGCCGCCCCTTCCGGGAGCCCGCCCCCTGGCGAGGGAAGCAGGGTGTGCAACCTGAGCACTGCTCTGGCGCTTTGATTTCCAGAAAGGCCCCAAGCAGCACAGTTTGTGCTCCTTTACTAACTCTGGTGCTGCAGTGAATTAGCCGTCGGGATGCTAACGAGATGGTCAGTGGTTCAAACCCACCAGCCACTCAAAAAGATTTACACCCTCAGAAATCCTAAGAAGCAATTCTAGCTTTGTCCTAAATGTTCGCTACGACTTACAATCAACCTGATGGCAGTGGGATTGCTTTTTTATTTACTCATCTAAAACAAATAGAATCCAACTAGTGGTGCAACAGATTAATAACTGCCTAACTTTGTACAGCCCTAGTGTAGCATAGCATAGCAGGAGCTCCCATTTTGTTTTAAACTGTGCAACCTCCTGCTAGCAGCTAGCCCCACCCTTCCCTTTCCCCCCACTGTGGGGGACAGCCAGGACAACTGATAAGGTCCTAAGGAGAGTTGTGTAAATGAAAGGGAAAGTTAAAGAGACATCAGACAAGCAAGTGCTCCTTTTCCATGGAGTCTGGAACCAGAGAGTAGGTGAATGTGTTCTCGAACAGGCTTGTATAATCTCAGGGCATGTAAACCAAGTCATACACATACTTAACAAGAAGGACATGTGTTAGAGGCAAAAAAACGCAATTGGAAGGGGAAGGGGCATACTAGGGTCACCCCGGTGACAGGGAAGCACATACACAATGGGATGGGCAGACCCTAGAGTTAAGGCTGCACCTTGACCTTAGGTGTCCTGAGCTCTTTTCCAGCTCTTCTCTAGGATCCTTATCAGAAAGGCCGAACTTGGGGTGGGCAGACAATAAGGGCCCATTGCTCTAGATGGCAGACAACCTTCATCAGATAACATATAACAAGGCTGATAGTAAGAAACCTAGAGCTGGTAAAAAGAATCATCTTAAAAATTGGAATTATTATGGGGGGGTGGCGCATTGTGGGGAATACCTTTTAGGAGAATGTGACTGAGATTCATCTCCAACTCATGAGCCTGAAGGCCTCCCTCCACCAGTCTAGGCCTCCCAGACTCCTTAAATATGAGTGTAGAGATTTGTCTGCATACAATCTCTTCCCAGTTTGAGATTTCACACCCCCACCCCACCCCTACTCCATGCTCTCCTGACAGACCTCAACTCTCCCAAGATGTCTCCTGGACTCTGCCTGCCCAACTAGCAATAACAGTAAACTATGCTGTTAGACCTCGAATTATCACCTGCAGCTGTGCTGTTCCCCCAGACGCCCCTCCACACCCACCCCTTTACCCTGCCAGCGTAAGCATGTAACTGCTTGAATACCCTTCCGCTTAAGCCAGCGCACTACTTTGAACTATGAAGGTCTTGCACTTTCTTTGTCCTGGGCCCAGGCTCTAGCCTACTCTTGAACCAGCTGTTATTAAAGGCTTTAATTATTAACAAAGTGGTGTGGTTGATCGCACCAGGCACAGCATTTTGGAGGTGCTCGTGAGATCCCACTTAACTCAGACGGGCCACCCCTCTCTGAGCGCGCCTGACTCCGAAGGCTTTCCTGGGGGCGTCCCCTGGTGATGCTCCAGAGCCCCGGGCAACCCTGGTGTTTAAGAAGGACCCACGCTCGCCTTCCTCACAAGCCTTCCCTGTCTGTGTGCTCTCTGGCAAGTCTGCCGTGAGCTCATCCTGTATCCAAGGAATAGAATAATGACGAGAATTTCCTCTTGACAAGTGCTCAGATACCTGGGACACCAAACGAGCCTTGTCCTGGCCTGTTTAAAACTTTCTCTTCTTCAGGGGTGTGGTAATCACCTAATCTGGTGTTAATTTAAGGATTAAGAGTGTAGGGGTGGAGTCTAGGCTGTCAATCTGGAGATAGACAGTGAGACTTGTGTGGGAATGGCCTTCTCCTGAGAATTCTGGGAAATCTGGTACTTCCTCCTTAGAGAAGGAAGACACTTCTCCCCCTCTCTGCCCCTGCCAGCGCTGAGATGCTTACAAGGCCACTGGACCCAAAGACGGTCTACCCACTGGCTTGTGACCATCCTGCATTTGGCTTCATTGCATGTGTTTCGTGAGTCTGAAGAGGACTTTATAGATTGGTATCAGACACATGGGCTAATATCAGACTATGGACTTGATCTGGACTGGGCTGGGATGTTTTCTCCATGTTCAATTGCTCCTGTATTTAAATCTCTCTCTCTTTTTTTGCATTTATATATTTATTTTTAAAATTTAACAGTTTCATTGACATATGATTCACATATACAGTTCAATAGTTTAAAGACATTAAAAAGACTTCAAAAATCTGCCTATCTTCTTCGAAGACATCCTCAGCAAGGATTTACAACCTTTCGTTTCTGCACACCCTGATCTCTCTTCTGCAGAATGTAGACGACTTGTCTCTAGCCACTAGTTCTTTTGCTAGTTGCTTGCAAGGCACTAAAGATTTATTGCAGTTACTGCAGTAAGAAGGCTCAGCTTTGTGGTAAACATGCTACCTTCATGGGACACCATCTGATGCAAGGTAAGCTCAAGCTAACCTTAGATCCCAAACAGCCATTCGGTAAATCCCACCTCTGCAGACAAAAAGGCAGCTCCGCGGATTTCTAGGAGCAGCGGGCTATTGTAGACTGCGAGTCCCAGGGATTGCAGCTAGTGCACAGCCCTTTATCAGGCCACTGCTGGGGTAGGGCCACTAGATTGGGGACACATAGCAACACACATTTCAAACTCTGAAAGGAGCCCTGTCACCGGGCCCTGTGCTTGCCCTCCCAGATGTCCGCAGGCCATCCCATCTGTGTGTGCACAAGCGAAATAACATGGCAACAGGGGTTCGTACCCAAACATGGTCCCTGGAAACAACCAGTTGCCTAGCTGGCAAAAAAGACTAGACCTCGTGTCCGCTGGATGGCCTGCCTGCATCTGAGCAGTGGCTACTACTACAGTCCTGCCTGTCAAGCCAATAAGTTAACACTCAGCCAAGACCTACCTATAAGAGTTCCCCACACGATTAAGTCCTTAATACAAAGCCCCGTGGTTGGCAAATGCCAGACTAACACAGTACCAAAGCCAATAGCTAGACCACCCTCGGCTTGTCTTCACAGCCACGCAAAGGATCAGTCCTGCCATACTACTCCCAGATGTCAACCCAGAGGTGCTCCTACGTGACTGCAAGAATCTATTAAACATGTCCCCTTCCATGCAGCCAGACTCAATGGCCCAGTCCCTGCTGCAGGTAGATGCCACCCTAGTTACAGGTGGAAGTAACTTTGTGCACAAGGAAAGCAACAACCTGTAACTGTGTAACCACCGCAGACTCTATCATTGCTTACTCGACAGTAAATATGTTCCACCCCCCTCACCCCACCCGGTTCATGTACATGCAGCAATTTACAAGAAAAAGAGGCTTCTTACTTCCGATGGAAAGAAATTTAAAACCCAAAATAAAATGCTAGCCCATCTGCAGGCTGGTTGACTGCCTGCAAAAGTAGCTGTCACCCACTGCAGAGGCCACCGAAGCACTGACACGCTGAAAGGCTGGGGAACGGTGTCGCCACTGCCACTCGCAGGCAGCTCTGAAGGCAGGTGACAGTTTTTCCTGTCTGCCTGCCGTCCCGGCACTGCCACACTCTCCCACTTATTTGGCAGAAAAACTTCAGCTAGCTTAGCAGGTTCCCCCAGAGAAAGGTGGTTAAAAAGTGCTCCCCAACAGACAAGTGCTTCTGCCAGTAGTTATAGCCTGTTCGTAAAGCAACTCCACAGCACAACCTACCTATGAGTTACTAAGGTGCTCCGGCTCCTTCCCGTCTTCAGCATGCTCTGCACTGCGCCTCCAGCACTAAGTTGTGCCAGAGACCCAAAGGTGGGTGCTTGTGTGCCCAAGGAAACACCTGGCAAGGTCCAAACCCCTCTCCGGGAACCGCTTCGTGGAATAGCCCAGACAAACATTGGGAACTGAGCTTTACTGAAATTCAGCCACCAGTTTTTAGGTACCAGTATTTACTAGTGCTTTGGACACCTTTTCTGGATGGCCGGAAGCCATCTCCACCAGGAAAAAGCAAGCCTCCGTTGTTACCATATTCTTTTTAAATGGAATTATCCCTAAGTACGGACCCCAGCTGTCATCGGGATCTGACAATGGCCTGCATTTACCTCCCAGGTCTCTCAAGTCTAACGAAGCCACTTAATGTCATGTAAGAGCTTCCCTGTGTCTATAGACCAGGGAGCTCTGGTCAGGTAGAACCCATGACTGGGACCATTAAGTCTCTATTAGCTAAGTTAATTCTAGAGACTTGGGGAGGGGTGTGTGAAATGGCCAGAGCTCCTTCCTCCCCCTTGCCTTTCTGCAAATACTGGGTACCCCCTATAAAAACAAATTCACTCATTTTAAGTGTTTGGGTGCCCCCCCACCCCCCGCCACCCCTGTTGCCTTAATTACCAGTCCCACCTTCACTGATATCACTAACCAATCCCCACTGAAGTCACTCCAGGCTCTTTGGCAGGTTGCAGTCAGAGGTGTGGTGTTAAGTGCAACACAGACTCCCTCTTCCTGTCCCTGCTCCTTGTCCTCCATTGCAGTCCTGGGACTCAATTTACATTGAGAAGTGGAAGAAGGAAGGACTGGAACCGGTTTAAAAGAGACCCTGTCCCATCCCCTTACAGAAGGGTCACAAGGAAGAGATGAGCCAGTCAGGGTGCAGTA